AGTTGGTAGGGTGGGGTGTGGGGGTGGCTGGACATCAGTTTTTTTGAGCCTTTTGCTTAGGGTTTAGGGTTTAGGGTTTAGGGATTCGGGTTTAGGGTTTAGGGTTTAGGTTAGTTTCCTTTGCCGTGATGTCCCGACTCGGACTTGGGGTCCGGGATGCAGCACTTAGGGTGGCGCTGGGGAGCAGAAACACGGAGACCCCAAATCCCAAAACCCAATAAGCCCTAAAGTAAAAAGCCGGAAACGAGAAACCTTAGACCCAACACGAAAACCCTAAACCCTAGACCCTACAGGCATAAGCCTAAGCCGTAAACCGCAAGCCCACAACTCTGAACCCTAAGCCCTAGCCCGAAGAGGGTATATAATACTTTAATTATAATAAGGAACCCCCGCAATAGTATAGGTAGTTATTAAGGCCCCTATATTAACCCAGAATTTGAAATCCGAATCGAAGAAAAGTGCAGCCAAACAGCGGGCACCCAAACCGGCCAGGAATCGCCTGCGCCAGAGCATGATGTCTTTCTTCCAGGTCTTGAGGAATAACTATAGTAAGGAACCCTTAAAAAAGTAGCACTCGTAGTGAATGACGCCCAGAAATTCTTCGTTGAGCTTGCACCACTTTTTTCTATCGCAATGACTGGAAGCTCGTGGAAGCGCAAGTAGATCACACCCAAAACCCAAACCTAAACCCCGACCCCCCCCCCTCCCAACAACAAAGAAGAAAGAAAATGAAAAGAAGAAGAAGAAGAAGCCCATGCCCCAAACCATACACCCCTAAACCCTGAACCCAAACGCCCTTATCCTAAACCCCAAAAGCCCGAACAACCCATAATGTAGAGGTCTAAACAAATATCTATACTCTTTTGCGGTTCCTTATTATAACTAATTATAGTACACGATACCCCAAGAACCTATTCTAACTATCAAGGCCCCTACATTAAACGCCCTAAACAACAGACTGACCCTAAACCCTAAACCCTAAACCTGAACCCTAAACCCTAAACCCTAAAAGCCCTAAACACCAGACTGGGGCTTCCGGCTGGCAGATGGTGCCGAAGGACCACTCGGCCGAGGCCATGACACTGCCCACGGCCCCGTGGCTCTCCGTGAAAATGAACTCCTGAGGCTTAGGGCTTTCAGGGTTTAGGGTTTAGGTTTAGGGTTTAGGGGTTTAGGGTTTAGGGTTTAGTCGGGTTTAGGGTTTAGGGGTTTAGGGCTTCAGGGGTTTAGAGGGTTTACTCTCTTTTTTAAGGTTTAGGGCTAAACACGACCGCGGTTTTTGGGTCTAAAGTTTATGGTTTAGAGATTAGAATCTTAAAGGGCTCCTTAAAGAAGTTCATAAGAGCTCTACAAAGGAGTGAGATGAGACAGGATGAGCTGCCTGAAAGGACCCATCAGGGATCTCTGGCGTCTAGGGTAAGGGTTTTTGGGTTTGGGGGTTTAGATAGAGCTTTGGGGTATTGGGGTTTAGAGTATAGAGCTCGCGGTTTACGGTTTAGGGGTAAATGGACCCATAAGGGATCCACAATGCAAGGGCTGCATAATGGAATGCAGTGGCCGGTGACGTTAGGAGAGGGTTCGGGGATATATTATACTCTTACACTTATGGACTAGAAGGGTGTATAGGGGTCTGGGTTTCATTACAGTGCTTTGTGGTCTGCACGGAGGCTTGCCATGGTGTTTTTACAGTATTCTACGGAGCATTGCTGTCGAGATTGAAGAAGTGTTTGGGGGCTTTGGGTTAGAGCGCTCTTTTCCAGGGCCGGAGGTGTTTAGATTGATTGACGGAAGCACTGTGCAAGCGTCTAAGCCTAGGTGTTCGGCTGAGGGCTGAAAGGTGACTAGTCTTGCAGTCTTGCTGATGCTATCATTACTGCGACCACGTCGACCATCATTAACACCACCCTTGCAATTCACCAGCACCACCATCATCACGAAGAACGACAACGCCACCAACACCACGGCCACCACAAAGGACTGCAATGCCACCGGCCGCTGCAATGCCCGCCACTACCAACATCAAAATCATCACCGCTACATCAGACTGCCGATGCAAACATCGGAGACAGAATCGCTTAATGGTAGAAGGCACCCCTAACTCCAAGAAATCACAGTTCAAAAGCAACGTATAAAACCCCATGATACCACCGTTGAACCGTAAATCAAACCCTGATACATCCAGCTTACACGCACCTTCAAGACTTATCTACCCCGGATTCCTGAGAAACGCCGAATGCTTCCAAGCTTCTCGAAAGCCAATGATTCGGGCTCGCACTGTCGTCCTCCGCGGCATGGCTGCTTCAAAGCGAAGCATGAAACCAAGCGGCGAGCCCTGAAATTGACGAAACTACTGCCTCCGTCATCACTATCCTCCTCCTCCTCCTCCTCTTCCTCCTCCTCCTCCTCCTCCAACTCCTCCTCGTCCTCCTCATCCTTGCAATTGTCGTCATCATCGTCTTCATCATCATCGTCTTCATCATCATCATCATCGTCCTCGCCTCGCCGTCGTCGTCATCATCTTTGTTCTCGTCGTCGTCATGATGATGGTCGCCATCTTGCACAAACCTCTATGAACGGGAATACACCGAGGGATCGAGGTGTTCGGGATTTACGCTTGCAGGAGCTGAAAGGGGTACTATCTTCAACCTCCCTAGGTCCAAGACAGACTGCAGGGATGTTGAAACACGCTATGGCTTCGTGCTCGGTTGGGCTTCAACTCGCAATCCCACCGTAAAACCCCCAACCTTGAACCCTCCAACTCTCTGTAAGCCCTGAAAAGTATAAAGCGTTAACCGTTAACCTCAGCCCTTAAACCTGAACCTTCACACCCAACTCTGCAAACCTGAAGCCTCTACCCTGATACTCCTATGCGGCCCACCAAAACCCTATTGAAACCCTCATCGACATCCTCACAGGACCCTGATAGAACCCTTACAGAGACCTGGTACACTTCTGAAAAGGACCCTCATGGTGCAACGCCTAAACCCTGAACCCCAAACTTAAGCTCTAAGCCCTAAAACCTTCAAACCCTCAAACCCGAAAGCCTGAGAACCTAGAGATTCCTTATGACTGGGTTTAGGGGTTTAGGGTTTAGGGTTATAATTCTAAACCCTGAGGGATCCCTAGAGCCCTAAAACCCTGCCCCCACTGTGGGCTCCTGTCGGTCCAGTGCGGCTGAAACCGCCGGAGGATGAAAGGCACCTCTGCGGGTCTCCGGTTCCTTTAAAGGGCTTAGGGTGTAGGGTGGCTTTAGGTTTAGGGTGTAGGGTGGCTTTAGGTTTAGGGTGTAGGGTGGCCTTAGGGTTTAGGGTTTAGGGTGGGTTTAGGTTTAGGGTTTAGGGTGGGTTTAGGTTTAGGGTTTAGGGTGCGTTTAGGGTTTAGGGTGAGTTTAGGGTTTAGGGTAGTTTTAGGGTTTAGGGTTTAGGGCGGATTTAGGTTTAGAGTTTAGGGTGGGTTTAGGGTGTAGGGTGGCTTTAGGTTTAGGGTGTAGGGTGGCCTTAGGGTTTAGGGTTTAGGGTGGGTACAGGGTTTAGAGCTTAGGGTGGGTTTAGGGTTTAGCGTTTAGGGTTTACCTTTCAAGGATACTAATTATAAGGGTACCATAATAGGGTTCCCTTTGAGAGGTACTACAGGGTTCTATCGTAGGGTTCCTTTGAAGGGCTGCTTTAAGGGTTTAGGGTTTAGGGCCGTAAGGGTTAAGGGTTCTTTTAAAGGGTCCTATCAGGGTTCCTCTCTGTCAGGGTTTAGGGCTTAACCTGCAGTCTCCATTTTTTGGGGTTGACCAATTTCACATTCAGGATCCGATAAGGTTGCCCAAAAAAGGAACTACGATGGCAGCTAAAGGCAAACGCTGAACCAAAAAATGCGTACTGTTGCTGCGAAGATGGGACGCAAAGAGCTGAGCACAGAAGAGAAAGAACCCTAAACCCTAAACACTTGTATCGCCGACCCGACACCACCACCAACCCCAAAGCGCGCAGCCCTTAACCCCCGCCCTAACCAGCATAAAACCCCGTACAACAAACACTCACGAATATTCAAACTAAGAACCGAATCTTCTTTCAACCAGACAAAGAGTCCCTCCATAGATAACTAGGCGGTACCATTGAACCCTACCAACCCTGACAGTAGCCCTTATGGAAACCCTTATAGAACCCTCCAAAGGAACCCTGAAACCAGAAGCCCTAAACCCTAAACCCTGAAACAGCCCGCAACCCTAAGCCCTTTTTCAACTCCCATTGACCAGCTCGGGCCTTCGTCGCCTCCCCTAGGAAAGCACCCATATTTGCCTCAGAAGCACACAAAAAGGTTTAGGGGTTGAGGGGCTTCGGGTTTAGGGGTTTAGGGGTCTAGGCTTTTGGGTTACGGGTTTTGGGCTTACTATAAGGTGATTTATTGGGTTTCAGTGGGTTTTAGTCTTAAGGGTACCTGGGCTTCCAAGGGATCAGGGCTGCAAAGGCTTCGAGCTTGGGGCTTTGAAAAATTTTAGGGTTCTTTTTAAGCGTTTAGGATCTAGGGGTCAGGGCTCAGGGTTTAGAGGTGTACGGATGCTACTTAAGACCCCTTCAAACCCAAAACCGTCCTACACCGAAGTCCTGAACTGCAGAAGCCAGCTCTTCAATCGGTTCGGACTCGTTGTCGTCCGGCGTCCTCCACACCCATACATGCACCAAAACCACGCCACGCTTCGCCACGTCGCTGCCTGCTGGGAGCGTGGCAACTCCGAGCCATCCTGCCAAGTTGAGTTTTGACAGCTGGAGCACATTCGAGGTGGACACCACCTCGAGAGGAGAACACAAGGCCAAGAATGATCTTGGCTGCATGAACTCCACACAAACCGTGGAACGCCTGATTCTTGCACGGCTTGTTCTGCAGCCGTCTCTTGCTCTTCACACCCTGGCTTGGGGCGAGAATGTAGCACAGAAGCCATTCCAGCGTACGGTTCCGAAGCCGAAACCATAAACCCTAACCCTAAAATGCCAGGGCCCTACCTCGTCCGCAAAGTTGCATGACTCTAAGCCCTAAACCCTCCAGCCGAGAACGCTAGAAGTACGAATGATGCATGTTGCGTTTTATATCGCCGCAATGACTCAGCTTACTCAACGTGCACGGGGTGGCAAGGTCGGTCGAAATAACTCAGAGTGCCCTGGAACGCTACGCCCTAAACCTGAACACTAAACCTAAACCCTAAACCCTAAACCTAGACCCTAAACCCTGAAACCCCAGCACTGAAACCCTCAACCCTGAGAAATTAAAACTTAGAGTACACTCTGAGATTTCGTCAGGCTCTACTTGGAGGACCACGGGACTTAGCAACTGGGGTTATAAAGGCTTTAGGGTTTAGGGTTTAAGGTGTAGGGTTTAGGGTTTAGGGGCAACTATAGAGAGTTATAGACCCAATGAGGGTGCTTGTAGCTTTAACTTACTAAGTCCCATGATCCTCCAAGTATCTCAGGGCCATCTGCTCGTCTGCTTGGGTCTTCCACTCATAACTAATTAGAACAGGGGTCCTTTCCAGGGGGTCTTTAAAAGGGCTGTTATTATTAAGAGGTCTTCTAAAGGGATATTCTTTCTAATTTAAGGGTTACTATAGGGGATTAGTGAGCAAGCCTTGGTGCTTAGAATGGGATTTGGAGGTATGTTACACTATACCTGCATCAGGCCCCCTGTCTGCGCAGCATTCTCTCCCCGGAAACACGACAATCAAGCAGCAACCGGCCCAGAAATCCCTAAACCCTAAACCTTAAACGCTAAACCCTAAAACCTGGAAACCGTAACACTGATCGCCCAGGCCCGGACACTCCAAAATCAGCGCAAACCCGGTCGCAAAAACGACGGAGACCCCCACAAGTAACTGCTTTAAACCCTAAACGAACAACCGGCTTCCAGCCCAGGAAAGGAGAAATCCAGCACAAAAGGTGCCCAAAAGTCCAAACGGCTTGCAGAAACCCATGGAAGTGCCAGAAAGCCAGTGTTTCGAGCTCAGAGCAAAGGAGAAAGCGCTCCGAACGGGCTCAGGGTTCAGGGAACCCCCGCGAAACTCTGAGACCCAACACCAGTTCCAAGCACACTCACCGGGCCGGGATGCATCCATCATCTGCAAGAAGTGACCCCGAGAGAAGCGTAGCGCCCCGAGCTGGTTGCCAGCTTTTCCCTGGAGGAGGCTTCTAGGGTTTTTGCTGGTTTTTATACCAGGGTTCTACTTGGAGGATCATGGGACTTAGTAAGTAAGGTTATAAGTACCCTAATTGGGGTTATTATTCTAGTTACCTTATTTCTGACCCTGTTTACTAAGTCCAATGATCCTCCAAGTAAGGCTTCTTCAGGGGGGCCTTAGGGTTTAGGGTTCTTGTAGCAGGGCTGGAACGCGTTGACGGTCTGTATAAGGGGCTCCTCATACGGACCGTCATCGGCTTTCAACTGAGGGTCTGAAGGGCTTGGGGTGTACGGTTTAGGGTTTAGGGTTTAGGGTTTAGGGTTTAGGGTTTAGGGTTTAGGGTTTAGGGATCTAAGGGTTTAGGACCGGGGACCCTAAACCCAGGCCCTACGGGCTGGAGGGTTTGGGAGTAATGTAGAAGCCTTAGTAATTAGAATACGGCTTTAGGGTTCCTTTAAAGTGTTCCTTATATGGATGGTTGTCAAAATTAGGGTCCCTTTTTGGGTACACTAAATATTAGGTGCCGTATTATATTACTGACCCAAAAAGGGACCATAATTTTGACAACCACCCATATGGCTCTATAAGGGCTACTATAAGGGTTTAAGGCATAAGGCTTTAATAACTAGAATAGCAGTACCCGGGAGCATAGGCACCCCCCGCACCGCCGTACACAGGCCTCTCTCTACTGCCTTGCCCCACCACCTTGATGTTGAGAACCGCTTCGCCCTTCCACTGTTCCTCCTCTGGCAGGCGTCGGATTGAGCGCCGTCTTGGAGCACAAAGTTGACGAGAAGGACCGCGGCACAGTGGCTGTAGCAGATCATGGTAGAAAGAATCGGAAGTGGTAGTGCTTGGCCCGCATTCTGCTGCTCAAGTCGCCGGGCTGGTGTGGTGTTGCACGTCTGGGTGTTGGGGCATGGAACCGTTTCTCTGATCTAACTTCCTCTGCCCCTAGTACTGCTTTTTGCATACAAGCGGGCACAAGTAAGGGTTCAGGACGCTGGACCCCAAATAGTAGGATCCTTAGCCTTGGAACCCTTAAATGCGGTGTCTTCGGCAGCACATCGCCCTAATCTTAGACTTCATGACGAAACCTTACATACATCAAAATTTGCAGAATCTGTAAGCGAGGTGTACAGTAGGGCTGCAGAGATTAGGATTGTGGGGTTCAGGCTCCCAATCCCGAAACCCGCGACCCTCTCCAACCACTTCCTGACATTGATTCTCCCCTTAGCAAACCCTGAACCCCAAATCCCAAACCCTAAACCCTTTTGAAACAAAACCATGAACAGCCCTGCGACACCGCAAGAGAACCTTTATGGAACAACACGTATGCGGCGTACACTGCCTGTGTCATGAAACCCGGCGTGCCCACGAGTAGTGCGAAGCACCTCTGCAGCTGGTTTGGGCTTGGAGGCTTTGTGGGCTTTTGCGGTGTAGGGTTGAGGGTTTAAGGTTTGGGGTTTAGGGTTTCGGGCTTAGGGTTTAGGTTTAGGGTTTAGGGTTTAGGGTTTAGGGTCTTCCTGCGGTGCGCGTGAATCCGCCCAAACCGGTTTGTGGTATCCTGCTGGTCTCCTGGTGGGCTCTGGGTGGTCTCCTCGTGTTTCTCCTGGTGGTGGTCGTGGTCGTGATCTTCCTGGCCGTTTTGTCGTCCGGGTCGTCGTGGTCGTCGCCTGGTCGTGGTGGTTGTGGTCTTGGTCGTCGTCGTCGTCGACGTCGCCGTCGTCGCCGTCGTCTTGGTCGTCTTAGTCGTCCTGGTCGTCTTGGTCGTAGTGGTCGTAGTGGTCGTGGTGGTCGTGGTCGTCGTGGTCGAGTCATGGTCGCCGGGGATCCACGCTGAAATAATGTTGTGCTTGGCATTATGAGGTTTCTAAGCGGTATATCGGCTTTGGGCTTTGGGGCCTGGGTTTTGGTAAGGGCCCCTGAATCGAGACATCTTCAAATATCCCCAAACCCCTAAAGATCCACAGACACTAAACCCTAAACCCTAAACCCTAAACCCAAATCCGGAAAGATCCCAAGAGACCAGCGAAGAACAACCCCGAGCCGCCAAATCCTCTGCCGAGGGGCCGGGGCAGCACTTCCAGAATTTCCACAGCACTCTCCGGCACTTCGAAATCGTCCTCAGGGTTTAGGGTTTAGGGTTTGGGGTTGAAGGTTTAAGGATTCTCCTGCACTTCGATATCGTCGTCAAGGTTTAGGGGTTTAGGGTTTGAGGTTTAGGTTTAGGGGTTTAGGGTTGAAGGTTTAGGGATTCTCCGGCACTTCGAAATCGTCCTCGTAAAGGCTTTAGGGTTTAGGGTCTGCGGATTAGGGGCTCGAGGTTGGGCACTGCCACCACCAGGTAACAGTCGATATCAGGGGTCATATTCAGGCCTAAATATAACCGTGCTGTTAATATTATACAGCTGTTACAGAGTAGCGGCTGTCCCAGGCTTTAGCCGTTTTGGGAGTTGGAGTTGTACGGTTTCGGGGATTGGGCGGGGTTCTATGATGGTGTACACAAGCCTCAAAACCTGACCAGGCTGCAAGACAAAATCTCCGCTCCAAACAACTACTATAGCGGCCCTCGTTTATGCTTGAGGGAGGTATACTGCACAAGCGTATACACTGACTATGTCTCAGCACTTATTAAGGCTGGAAATCACGAAACCAACCCATGAAACCTCTGAAGAAGTAGAGAACAGGAAGAAATGCTCTGGCGTAATATTATTCGACTAGGGCTTCGGAGGGGGGGTGGGGGGGTGGGGGGGCTATACTGAAGGTAGGTAGGGTAATCCCAATCAGCAGTCTTCGTATAAGTGAGCCTTACCTGAACCTTAACCCCAATCCTACCTTCATCCCACGTTTTGATGCGCCCTCCGAAATCCAACGTCCTCCTTGTATGCCCCCTTCCGGAAGCGTGCCAGCACCGACCTCAGAGGCTTGGTGGAATGAAAAAAGGGGGTCTTAGAAAGGGGTTAAGGAAGCCTTTTTAAGGTTCTGTAAAAGGTTCCATAAGGGTGCTGTTCTTGGTAGTTGGAACGAGGGTTTTTCCATAAGGTTCACGAGGCCCTAAGGGGGTATTATACAGGTTGTTTTATGGGGCTTAAGATAGGCGCCTTCATAGTTAGAACAGGGCTTGGGTGTACTCAGCAGAAAACTGACCCTGATAAACGATAAAACTCGAAGGACCTTCGCCGCCTTTGCCCTAAACACTATTCCCTTATAGGGTTTAGGGTTTAGGGTTTTTAGGGTTTGGGGCTTTTAGGGTTTAGGGGTTAGGGTATAGTACCGTTTAAAGGAACCCTCAACCCCCTCTTCCGCCGCGGCTGAGCTCCCGGCGCGTGGCGGACAGGGCGATCAAAGCGATACCTCAGCAATAAAATAATGAGAATCAAGAATCAAGAGCAGCAATAATCATACCCAGCATAATGACAACTATAAAAACAAAAATGATAACAATAATGTGGAAAACTAATACTGTGAAAGTAGAACAATATGTAGCAGTACTGATAACAAACTACTGCAGTGTCATGCAATATATTGTAAAGTATTCGGGCCAGGGTTTAGGATTTAGAGCTTAGGGTTTGGTATATGATGTGCTGTAATGTACCATGTTTCATGTCACACATAGCACAATATAACGGGGCTGACATGGGCTCTGAAGGGTGTTCCACGGCCTCTGCACGACGAAGACCGACATCTACTGATACTGCTTTGGTTTTACTCACAGATAATTACTACTAGTAAGAACGAGAATGATTATGATAATCATAAGGAATACAATAGCAATGCTGCTAAGAACAGCAGTAATGACAATAATAACGATTAACACTAACTAACAACCAATACAAAGACAGACAGGTAAATAGACAGATAGATAGGTAGGTAGATAGCTAGATAAGCTATAATAGTAACAGTCTGCTTTTCAAGTCGACAACAACAATGATGCTTGTTGATACTCTTCTACGTTTGGGTGCAATTGCCGCGGTTGCCGTCCGTTCTTGGTTATGACGGTCGCGCTGAGACAAAGGAAGCCTGTGCGGGTTCCTGCTTGAGCCCTCAACTCGTGGCTTGAGCAGTAATGCATCACAAAACCGCATGAACATTTCGAATTTCGTGGGTTCAGAGGTTTAAAATTTACGGATTTCATGTTTATGGTTCAGGAAATTAGTACCTATGCTGCACATTCACTCTTTCACGTGGAATCTCTGAAATCCTGTTAGGCACCCACCGCCGGCCTGCCTTCTGCGGCGCTCGACTAAACGGGTCAATGCAAACAGGATCTGTGAGCACACCGATACTGCCGCATATATCTGCCGAGTTCATGACGCAGACTAGCTGATGCTCCTACAGGTAGCAAGCACGTCGTCAAAAACGTATCAGCCCATCATGAACCCTGTTTAACTCCGTCAAGCCCTGAGGTTTCTGGCTTTGGACTTTTAGGGCTTAGGACTTAGGGTTTAAATTTTGGGGTTTGAGAGTCAGTTTTTAGGCTTGTAAACGCCGTAGATTGTGGAGTGCGAGCGCTGCCGGCGGAGGGCTCTGAGTTTCGGGCTTACGTCTTTGAGGTTGAGGCATATGATCCACTGAGGGGCCCCCAGCGAGCATTTCGTTACACGAAAACGCCTGGCTTGGAGACTAAAAGCCCTGCTTGTGAAAGACAGCATGGATCTTGAACACGAGGCTGGAGTACTTGGAAGAGGAACGACTGTGATCAACAGAAGGTGAATGCGCCAAGCTTCATACGATCAAGGCCAGAAAACACAAAAACGAGTGTGCGACGGCAACAGCAGCCGAAGGAACAACCCAAAGAGAACTCCCAAACGTAAATATAAGGGCCTTAATAATTAGAATAAGGTTTTGGGGTATATTATACTCCCCCCCCACCCAAAAAAAATAGTATTGGTAAATATTGAGGCCCTACATTACATCCTAAGCCTGACAAGTTGCTTCTCCCGCACGAAGTTATTCACAGCCGTGACGATGTCTGGCCGGGACTTGTCCTGAGCTTTGTCACCAGTTTTCGCGTGCATGGAGCGAAAGCCACAAGAGCTTCCAGACGAAGTGGCGCAACAGCCCCAGGAACCCGCAGCAATGAAAAGGGCACAGCGTGGTTGGGAGCAGAAACCCGCGGCCGTCCTGTGCCAATGCCCGTACTGTAGCCCCTACACCCTAAGCCTCCCTGAGGTCAAGACGACAAGTCATCAAGAAGTATAGGGGCCTCAAGACTTAGACTAGGGTCTTGGTGGTAATATATAGAGGAACCCTAAGGGACAGTATTGTGCAACTATTTCGGCCCCTACATTACGGCTGGCTTAGCTTTGCAACTGGGGCAGCCTTGGCTTGCGGGCTTCTGGTTCCGGGGGATCTTGGGCTTGAGGAACCTTAAAAAAGAGCTGGAACTTCTCCATTTGTAGCATTTTTGTGGTATGTGTCCTCTGCGCCTGCTGCTGTGTGGTGTCACCTCTCCTGTTGCTACATTTCATGCAACCACAACAGGAACAACTGAAAACAACTACTACTGTTTTCCTCCTCCTCATGCTGCTCCTCCATTACTGATGATTTCGGCTTTTAGGAAGGACTGTTCACCAACACATACAAGCCGCAAACTCTAAGATTTATGCTGCTAGGGTTCGGCATCGAAGTCGAAGACCAGGAAGAAGCACAGGTGCCGGTACTTGGCAAGCAAATACCTTTGTTGTGAGGGCCTAATCCTCGACAAATCCCGATATATAAGAGGGCCAGCTTGTCTTGCTGATTACTTTCACTCGGCAACCCCAAACCCCAAATTGCAAACGTGTTCTGGATAATTGACACTAGTTGTACCATACCCCCTTACAGTGCAGATATGACTCTGCGAAAACCATACAAACATTTCAGATTCAGGCTTCTATATGAAGCTTCTGGGTTTGATACCCTTCATGGTGCAGATATGATTCTCCCTATAATCTATATATGGGTAGTTGTCAAAATTATGGTCCCTTTTGGGGTACCCTAAATAATAGGTGCCGTATTATAATAAGGACCCAAAAAGGGATCATAATTTTGGCAACCACCCATATGCTTCAGGCTTGTCGATGAAGCTTCTGAATTTGGCCTGACTAGCCTGAAGCTCCGAGACTCCCGAAACTTGGCTGCTGGGGCTCTTTCTAAAGCCCCAGGGTTCAGGGTTTTAGAGTTTAGGGTTTGGGGGTTTAGGGTTTAGGGTTAAGGGTTTAGGGTGCAGGGTTTAGGGTGTAGGGTTTAGGGGTTTAGGGTGTAGGGTTTACGGTTTAGGGTGCCTCTGCTGAGCGCACTTAAGGTAGGGGCCCTCCTTCTTAATTAGAATAGGGTTCCTTGGGGGGGGTTCCTTGAAAGGGTTCCAGAAGGGCTACTATAAAGGTTTAGGGTAATCAGGAACCCCCACGATAGTATAGGTAATCATTGAGGCCCACATTATACCCCACAACTTCAACCGTCGTCGCCCTCACCCTGATTTCAGGAGTTGAGGCTTGGAGCTTTTGGGGTGTAGGGTTGCGTGTGAGTTGACCCCCATACTAGCTTCGGGGCTCATGGCTCCAGTTCGGGGATTCCGTTGCACTCAGGACGGAGAAACTTTTAGGGCTTAGGGTTTAGGGTTTAGGGTTTAGGGGCAACCCTTGCAGGAACCGTTGAAGGAACCCCTATGGCACCAAGAAACCTTTAGAGGAAGCCTCAAAAGATCCTAGGTCCTCGACCCTAAACCGTGTTTAAACCTTGAGTCCTAAATTCCTAAAGCCGAAAACCTCTAAACCCCCAAACCCCTGCCCCTAAACCCTAAACCTCTGAACCCTGCACCCCTAAACCCCTACCCCCAAACCCTAAACTCTTAACCCAAAACCATAAACCTCTAAACCCCTTAGTCCCTGAACCCTAGACATCAAATCCCTAGACCCTAAACCCCCAAACCCTGACTCGTACTTCCTTTAATGGCGTTCCGTTTGGGCTTCCATGAATTCCTTTAAGGGTTCCTTATAATATAGAACCTTAAACCCTAAACCCTAAACCCTATATGCTATAGAACCGTAAACCCTAAACCCTAAACCCTATATGCTATAGAACCGTAAACCCTAAACCCTAAACCCTAAAAAGGGCCGGCGACCGGAGGAGGCTCAGGGTTCCAAGATTTTGAAGGGAACCTTCAAGGGACTCCTTAGGGGTACTATAAGGTTCAAAATAGGGTTTAGGGTTTAAGGTTCTATAGTATATAAGGGTTAGGGTTTAAAGGTCTATAGTATGTAGGGTTTAGGGTTTAGGGGTTAAGGTTCTATAGTATATAGGGTTTAGGGTTTAGGGCTTAAGGTTCTTTGGTATATAGGGTTTTGGGTTTAGGGTTTAAGGCTCTATAGTATATAGGGTTTAGGGTTTAGGGTTTAAGGTTCTGTAGTATACAGGGTTTAGGGTTTAGGGTTTAAGGTTCTACAGTATATAGGGTTTAGGGTTTAAGGTTCTATAGTATATAGGCTTTAGGGTTTAAGGTTGTATAGTATATAGGGCTTAGGGTTTAAAGGTTCTATAGTATATAGGGTTTAGGGTTTGGGGTTTAAGGTTCTATAATAGGGTCCCCTCAAAGGGTACTATGGGGTTCTAAAATCGGGTCCCTTTCAAGGGTTCCATGCTACTATAGGGTTCTATAGTAGGGTCCCTTAGAAAGGAACCTCTTAAAGGAAGTCATGGAAGCCATTAAAAGCGGCCCGGCTGCCGTACCGACTCGTCGTTCGCCGGGGTACCAGCCTCCGACGGCTGTCTCTTAGGGCGTTAGTTTAGGGAGAAGAGTTTAGGGTTTAGGGTTTAGGGTTTAGGGTTGAGGGTTGAGGGTTGAGGGTTTAGGGTCTAGGGTTTAGGGTTTAGGGTTGAGGGTTCCCTTAAAGGGCACTGTAAGGATCCCCTTAACAGGCTCTGTCAGGGCTTAGGGTTTAGGGGTTTACGGGTTAGGGGGTTGGGCTTTAGTTTAGGGTTCTTATGGACAGAACACCCACAAATCCCCCATGCAGAATGTTCAAGAAGCGGTGCGCTTCTGGCCCACACTTTGCGGACGTGTTGTGCCTCAAGCAGCCCCTCCCATGACGCGTCAACACGCGCTAATGTGATTACTCACGACAAAGAAAGTGGCACCAAGCAGCCTGGCCTCTTCAAAACCCTAAACCCTAAACCCAAAACCCTAAACCCCTAAACCTCGGTTGTGATCAACACCACTCGACTGGTTCACTGCCATGATTGTACACTTGAGTCGCCAGGATCCATCGGCCGACGAGGTTAGAGGGATAGCGAGAGCAGTCTGCGCAGAGTGTCTCGAGACAAGAACGCCTCCGCCTCCCACGACATGCTTTGGCAGACGCGTGCGTCTTGCACCCATCCAAAAGCCCACTCAGCAAGTTCCAACCGTGAGGCTGCAGAAGACCTTCCCCGTCGTTCTTATCGGCCGCGCGTCGCACCAGGAAAACATCCACCAGTGCACTCAGCAAGGTTTTTCTGTCCAACACACTCCAGTCGTGGATGTCCTCTACTCTGCGAGCTTCCATTACACACGTGCCCACGAGCGAGGCTAGCCTAGCCCAGAGTGGTTTTACAGACGCGCGCGCGAAGAATCCTTCGACGAGAGAGAGATGCAGAGAGGAGAATAAGGGTTTCTTTAAAGGCTACTGCAAAGGTTTCTTTCAAGGCACTTTGTGTTACTATAAGTGTTAGGATTTGGGAGTTTGGGGGTTTCGGGGTCTAGGCTCCTCGACTCTATGAAAAACCTCTATAGACGCTCACGACCTTCCTATGAAACCCTTCGAACCCGTACTGCTGGGCTGCGAGTTTGAGGATGTTTAGGGCTGTTGGGTTTAGGGTTTAGGGCTTGGGGCTGGGGGTGCAGGGTTTAGGGCTCAAGGGGTTTAGGGTTTAGGGCTCAGGGCTCAGGGGGTGTAGGGTTTAGGGTTTAGGGCTGTTGGGTGTGAGGTTTAGAATCCTTTCCCCAAAAGAGCACGGCTGTCGCTGTCTTAGAACAGGGTAGAGAAACCTTCATGACGTGCACAGAAACCTTGGGGGGGCCTTTGGCTTTGGGGCTTTGGCTCAGGGTTTCAGGTGTGGGCTTTCGGCGATTGAGATTTAGAGTTTAGAAAGATGTGGGGGGGGGGGGCGGGGTATATTAATATGCCATAATTTGATCAGGCAAACCACTAGCTAATATTGGCAAATATTCAGACTCCGCAATGATGCCACAGCCCTCAACCAAAGCACCGCAAGACCCCTGAAAGCCTTCGACAGTCCACTAAACCCAAAGCTCTAAACCCTTAACCGTACACATGCCCAAACCCTAAAGCCTTGCAACATATACTGAAGGTCTCCACGGCAACGTGTCGCGAAGCCCCGGACCCTGCACCGTAGTTCCTACATCCCTAGACCCACAACCTCTGACCCCGAACCCGGGACTAAAAGCCCCAGAAACACCTAGTACCAGGGCCTTGATAATCGGAGAAACGGATCTCGAGGTAACGCTCAGCCCTAAACCGTAAGCCCTATAATAGATTGTAGCATAACTATGTCAGGGAGCCCTATTCACCCCAAAGTTGGTATTCACTGAAGCGTCCTTGCTACGCCCAATACGAGGAGGACCCAGAGAGCCCACACAACCCGTGACTAACGAACATACCTTAAATCAGAATATTCATCCCCTGAACCCTAAACCCTAAACCCTAAACCCTAAACCCCAAGAAACCCTAAACCCTAAACCCTAAACCCTAAACCCTCAGCCGTGGATCCTTAATTAAGGGCCATTGGGCTCTGGGAGGACCCCTAAACCCCGAACCCTAAACCCTAACCCCTAAACCCTAAGCCGTGGATATTTAATTAAGGGGTATTGGGCCATTCGGCTCTGGGAGGACCAAGCCTTGCTTCCATACGTCTGATGCGCCAGAACCAACTCCACGCAACTTTCCAGAGCCTTCGGCTTGGTTTAGGGTTGGGGTTTGGGGTTTAGGGTTTAGGGTTTAGGGTTTAGGGTTTGGGGTTTGGGGTTTAGGGTTTAGGGTTCAGGGTTTTGGGTTTTGTTATCTGGGTTTTGGGTTTGGGGGGGTGCTCCAAATGAAACCACTTCGAGTTTTGAGGCTTGACGGTGCTGGAGGTTAGGCTGTACATAGGATGTTCACGGTTTAGCTTGTTCGTATGTCTTGGGATCTCGATGCCGGCGAGTCGCCAATACGAAAAGGTCACCACACCCAAAACGGGCAAAGGGATACGGCTTGCTTTGTCTTTGAGGGCGGTTTCAAAGGCTTCTACAAATTTGCTGTTCTGTTTCGCTGATTTCTGTTCATTTGTGTTCACGGTCCTCGTAAGATGCCTACGGTGGCTCGCAACTTTGGTTGCACAGGCTTAACCAGGGATCCGGGAGCACGCGCTAGGGTAGGCAGCAGGTGCCATGATTCGGTTATCCATGATAAGAACCCTGCTTCTGGCAACAGGTACTTGAAGAGATACAAGGCATGGATAGTTAAGCCTCCAGGCCCGCACCACGCCCCCCTCCGCCCCGACCACCAGCGAGACCGTCAGTGTGTGACGCCTTCTATCAGAGGCCCAAACGCCAACCAAGCCGGGGCATCCTAAACCTGGACACACCTCGGTCAGCTAGTCAGGGTAGGAGTTAGGATTAGGGGGCAACCTTGGGGATAGAGACCCTCTTACTAAGGTCCCTTTTAAGAGAGCCATAAGTAGGGTTACGAAGGGTCCCCTTTAAGGGGTGTCCCTAATACCACGTAGGACAGCTAGTCAGTGAGGCAAGCAGACAAGCCAGAAGGCAAGCAGGCAGGCAAGCCATAAAGAGACGGCTCAGCTGATCCATCAACTTAAGCCTCCCTCTCTCTGTGCACGTACATGGGCACGTCTGCACTGATCTACTCGTGCCTATTTTCACTTTCTGGTTTAGTTGGCTCACTAGGTGTGCTCACTGCTTGTGGCCCTTTCGCGACGGCTACTTGCAGGCTCATGCGTTCTCTACACATTACGCATCGAGCAAGCTGCTTGCTTCAATCTGAGCGCTTTTCCATCCGATCACTTTGCGCAAACACAAACGTGAAGCAAGAAACGACAACACCACGGAAAAGGTCACAACTTCTGATTTACACTTCCATGAGACCTTGAACTAGAATTAGCCTTCAGGGTAGTTTAGGAGCTAAACCCAAACCCTTGCAGCGCTGCCTTCCCGGGGTTTTCAGCTGACTGCACGCTCGGGAGCATTGCAACAACCTGCGACCCAGGCGCTGGCGTCTCAGGTTACTTGGAGGATCATGGGACTTAATAACTAGGGTTGTAAATAAGGTAACTATAATTATAACCCCAATTAGGGTACTTATAACCTTACTTACTAAGTCCCATGATCCTCCAAGTAAGCTAGGCTTCAGGCACTCAAGCTTTCCACTTCCTGTACTGTTCTTACCGCATGGGTTATCAGCTGGTGCCTGCAAGTATTGTGGACACCCATGTCTTCGGCTCGACATAGACCCTCCGACTAATATAGGGGCATTAATGATTCGAATAGGGATTTGAGGTATACTACACTACAAGCTTAATAAGGAACCCCCAAACTAGTATAGGCAACTGTTTAGGCTCCTTCATCACCTTCCAGTTTAGAATTCTTAAGTTGCTCGCTGCGACCCAGTAGGCGGAAACCTTCCATGCGGGCCACGATCTCCAAACATGAGAACCAACAACCATCAAAGGTTTTAAAATAGAGGGTCTGCAGAATTGGAACAGAAGTTCAAGCAATATCGCAGTCTAAGTTTCTAGGGGCTTCAAAAATGACCTGCAATAATTGTGCATTCAGACCTTGATATATCAATTCCTTTCGACGGGGTATTTTAGGGGCCTGAATCATTGGATACAACTTCATTATTGAACCCTGAACCCTCAACCCTCAACCCTAAACCCCTAAACCCCTAAACCCTAAACCCTGAAGGACAAGGGGTTGTAGTTCTTCAGGGCCCTGTTTTGCATTTTCCTCTGCACAAGCCCTGGATCACCTAGTTGCCGAGTGAGAAAGGTTTAGGGTTTAGGGTTTCGGCTTCCAAGCTTCGGGGTCTAGGCGTGGTAGAAGGGTGCTACAAGGGCTGTGTAAGGGTTGGTTCCACAAGGGTTCCGTGAGGATTTAGGCCTTGGGGCTTAGGGTGTGGGGCTTAGGTTTCAGGGCCTGGTTGTCCTGGGATGTAGGGTTCAGGGCTTAGGGCTTGAACATTAAGCGCTGTATATGTACGGAAAACAACGTCAAAGTAATCCTTAAACCCTAAAGCTCTTTTTTTGCAACAGGCTTCGCACTTCGCCTGGAGTCGGTCAACTCTAAACCCTAAACCCTAAACCTACTCAGCTTCTACGCGCAGGATTTGATCCGACCTCCTGGTACTGCATCGCGCCGACGACCGTCCTGGCCGTGGCTTTGCAGCTTAGGCACTGCAGTAGCCTTTAGCATTTGGGTATATACTTCTTTGACATGAGGGAGTCCTTGAAGGGATCAAGGATCTATAAGGGTTTCTTTCAGGGTGCCATGAGGGTTCTACATAATTCAGGGCTCAGGGCTTCAGAGCTTAAGGGTTAGAGCTGATGGAGTTTGGGGCTTGAGGGTTTTAGCTTGTCCAGGTTGTTGAATACTTCGGATTGCAGTTTTGACCCGCCGCCCCTTCCCATTGCCGATCTGCCCCAAACCCTGATCCCTAAACCTCAAACCCTAAACGGGTAGTTCTCTAAATTAGGATCCCTTTTTGGGTCCCAAATATAGTACGGCACCCTTATAAAAAGGACCCTAAATGGGACCCTAATTTTGAAAACTACCCAAACCCTAAACCAACAGCTCGGCCTCAAGAACACCCTGAATCCTCTTTGCCGACCCTTCACGCCCTTTGAAAGATCTTCCTGAGCACGACCCTCTTGAGCCTGATAACTGAAGTAAACATCTGCACTGCGATTAGATCAAGGGCTATCGCGAAACACTTTTGGCAATTATTCCTATTTTTGTGGAAAACCGAATAAAATCAGGAAGAAGAGCAACTCCTAAGCCCTAAACCCCTACACCCAAAACCCTAAACCCCCTTACGATTCCAACCTCCAAACATCACCCGGCTTCCGAACCTTAGACCCTAAACCCTAATGGCCTGGCAACCGTCTGCGAGCGCATCGAGGCCCACATTCGCACCTCAAAAAAGGAGCTTCCCCGAGAGCTTTAAAACACCGTCCTTGGGGGGACCCTAAACCCTTGACCCTTCACCCTTAGCCGTAGGGGTTCCTTTTTCAAAAAGGGGTCTACCAAGGCTGCTATAATAACGGATCTTGAAGGGATTTGGGGTTTACGGTTTTAGGGATTCGGGCTTTTGGGTTTTAGGGCTTTAGGGCTAGGGCTTCAGCACTTTAGGGCTTCAAGCGTTTTGGGGCTGCTTCAAAACTTTGGGGCTCTAGTAGGTCTTTACCTAAAGAGTCATACCCTACCCCTCTGTTAAGGTACCTAGTTTTGTAGGTACCCTAAAAAGGGGTAGGGTATGACCCTATAGGTAGGATGTGAGGGTTGGACGTGGTAATTTTCCATCAGCGTTGACCGAAGCAAAGTCTCGAACTTCAAGCCGAGGCCCTGACCTCTACTGAAAGGATCATGCTCATCGGACTTGGTAGATAGGGTTCAGGGATTTGAGGGTTCAGGGATCTAGGGTCTAGGGTTCAGATGGTTGCAACTACATGCAACCTCCCATGAAGTTTCTTCTAACTCGCTTGCTATCTCCGATACTATACTACTATACGGCGCCAATGCACAAGGGTTGGAGCCTAAACCCTAAACCCTTGATCCTCCGAGGACACCAATGCACAGGGGGCGGAGCCTCCATGATCACCGCGGGCGTAAGCATGTGGTCGCCGCGGCCCATGAAGGCATCGTGCATGCCCTGCCACTGCGGCGGTAGAGTTGTCGGGTTAAGGTGCACGAAACGGGGGTTTCCAAAAATAGGGGACCCTAATATAGCACCCTAAGTAGTAGGATCCTTATTATAAGGACCCCAAAATAGGGTACCCTAATTTTCGGAAAATCCCAAGCAGCACGGAGTCCAAATCCTAAACCCTAAGCCCCAAAGCCAGATAAAAGCAGAAGCCAAAAAGTTGGAGTATCATTACTCTCGCGCCCTGAAGGTAAAGTATAGGGGATCTCAGCACTGATCATCCTGACTCCCTGTTCCAACTTGCTGGGAATCACTATAAGGGGGCCAGAAACAACTGTCAAGAAAGAACTGCCAAGATTCTAGCTCCTAGTTGGCCGGGACCCTAAACCCTAAACCCTAAAGTCAGCTACGGCATCCTCCCCCCTCGCTCAGGCGCTGAATAGCTTCACGGAGCTTTGAACTCTAATGTAGGGGCCTTCATAATTAGAATAGAGTTTTGGGGTCCTTTATAGTATATTCCTAAAATATACATCTTATAAATCATTATCAGGAACCCCCCAAAATAGCATAAGAATTTTTAAAGGCCCCTCTATCAAACCCAAACGGAACCCTCTGAAGGAACAAATAAAAAGGAACCCAACAGTGGGTGTCCGGCTTATGCGAGGGGTCGAAAGAGCCGTGATGCCGGGTCCGGCAAGCTAAGACTGCACTTCGGAGGTAGCATACCTTACTTGTCCAGTATCCTAAGGGAACTAAATGTTGAGCTTTGGGATTACAAAGGGGGTTATGGTACCCCCAAACGGTTAAAGGTCACCTACTCTACTACTCGGATACAGTACATGGAATTAACGAATATAGGGGCCTTAGTCATCAGAATAGGGTTTGGGGGCCCGCTATACTATAATTAGAATAAGAAGCCCCCCAAAAATAGTGTTGGTAGTTAATCAGGCCCCTATATTACGGTGCATCGGCCTAGCGGCATCACTCGAAAGCTCTCGTTGGTGTATAGCAGCAGCCCATCGACCCCCCCCCCCCCCACCATAAACCCTAAACCTCAAGCCTCGAAACCCCTAAGCCCTCTTTAAGTTTAGGGTTTAGGGTTTAGGGTTTACGGTTTAGGGTTTCGGGTTTAGGGGGAGTCCTGCAACGGTTAAGGCCCCAAAAGCACCCGCACCCATCTTCCCTCCCACACTCCTTGGGTGTGAAGTCATGCCGCTCGCAGAAGAAGGCCCACCTGGTTGCTGAGAAGGTTGAGAAGCCTAACTCATGCTTTGGCGTCTGAGGTTTCTGTTGCTGTGCTAGGTTCCTGAACAGCCCCTTTATAATACAGAGTACCCTTCTTTCCTACTGTTCGGCTTTAATACGGGGACCCAAAAAAAAAAAAAAGGGTACTACCCAGGAACTTAGTGTAAGAAGCCGTGGATCTTAAAAGGATGCCCTGGCTCCTCAACGATATGTCTGAGCCACAAAAAGCCGAAACCCCAAAGCCCTAAATACCAAACCTCCTACGTCCCCTCACAACCCCGCGAAAGCCTGCTAGAACCCCGTAACATCCCTCAAGCCCGCACAACCTCTATTTAGGGTTTAGGGCTTAGGGCTTAGTGTCTAGATCCGAAATCCTCTAAGCCACCTCATAGAAGCGAAACCCTCACACCTCGCTCCCCCTTCGTCGAAACAGCACTTCCCAGTCAGAAAAGAGCCCCGCCCCCTCCCACGCACCCTGTGGACAACAAAACGAACACCGAAGGAAAAACCCTAAACACAACAACCCCTCCCACCACCTAAACCCGAAACCCTAAACCCACCTCCAAACAAAACACTTAACCCACAACAGCAGAAAACCCACCACACTAAACTCAAAATTTAAAACCTAAACCCAAACAAAACAATAAACCACAACAGAAAGCCCACCCTAAACCCTCAACCCAAAGCCCTAAACTCCAAAACCTAAATCCTAAACCCAACCCAAAAAAAGAAACGAATAAAAGAGATAACATAGGGGCCTTAATTATTACCTATACTATTTTGGGGTGTTCCTTATCATAGTTATAGTAAAAAAACCCAAAACCCTATTTTAATTACTAAGGCCCCTATATCCTATATAAACCCTCAACCTTAAATCCTAAACCCTGCACCCTAAACCCTGAACCCTAAACCCTGAACCCTAAACCCTGAACCCTAAACCCTAAACCCACAACCCTGAACCCGAAACCCACAAGAGAGAGAGAGGAAAGGGACGCTGGGCGACCCGGCTCTTCGGGGAACTGGGAGATGATGAAGGCCAGGTTGCTGTTCAAGCCATCGTCCTAGGGTTTAGGGTTTAGGGTTTAGGATTTAGGGTTTAGGGTTTAGGGTCTAGGGTTTAGAGTCTCGAGTTTAGGGTTTAGGGTTCAGGGTTTATAGAGGGCTTAGGGTCTAGGGCTTAGGGTTTATAGAGGGCTTCGGGTCTAGGGCTTCGGGTTTATGAGATTCTTTCCATTGGGGGCTTCGGGGGTTTAGGGCCATCATCCTAGGGTCTCTAGACAGGGCGATGAGGGTTTAGGGTTTGGGGATTGTGGTTTAGGGATTAGGGTTCTCGAGATTAGATATCAGGGTTTAGGGCCATCGTCCTGAGATTCTTTCAATTTGGGGCTTCGGGGGGGTTTAGGGCCATCATCCTGGTTGTCTTTGAACGGGGCGAGGGTTTAGGGATGAAGGTTCAGGGTTTAGGGTTTAGGGTTGAGGGTTTAGGGGGTCTGGGGATTAGGGTTTGGGGTTTGGGGGTTAGGGTTTAAGTTTTAGGATGGAAGATTTAGGGTTTGGGGATTAGGGTTTGGGGTTTAAGGATTAGGGCTTAGGGATCAGGGTCTTTCAAAAGGGCCCCGGGTCTAGTTTAGTGCTTCTGCCCCTTCGACTCCTGCCGCGGGAGAGCCGTGTCGGGCAAGTGGGTTTAGGGATTTGGGTTTGGGGTTTGGGGCTTAGGGATCAGGGTTTAGGGATTAGGTTTAGGGGTCTGAGAAAGGGGGCTTACAGGTGTTCTTGCCGGGTTTGGCTGGGTGTTATAGAGATTTGGTTATGGGGCTTGCAAACTTGTAACAGGGGTTTGTAGTCAGGGGCTTTATACGGAGTGTTGTGGTTTGCTGCATGGGAATGCATGGGCATTACATGGAGTTTTCTAGAGTGCTCCATGCGTTTCATCCGGGGTTTTGATTTATGGATCCTTCTTGGGCCTTCCAAACGCAGGCATTCGGGTGTTAGGTCGATCGTCGGAGTGTGGGTTCTCCTTGGAGGATCCGTTAACTTCCTAAGTAAGGGTTGCAAGTACCTTGCTTGGGTCACCGGGAACTTATCACTGTAGTATACTTACAAACGCCTGAGGCTTCAGGGCTCGCAGGTTTCGCATTTTGGAGCTCAGGGGGTTTTGAGGTTCAGGGTTTAGGGTTGCCAGAAAGGTCTGAGGCTTTGCTGTTTTGATCTTCGGCTGTAGGTCCTTGGTTGTGGGTTCCAGTGTTGGGTCTAAGGGTTTGAGCTTGCGGGCGGGATTCCGATTTCGTGCATTCCGTTTAAAAGCTCAGGGCCTGAGGTTACCGAAGGGACCTCAACAATTAGAACAGGCTTTTGGTAGTGTTACCAGACGAATGCAATCAGGAACTGTAGGCAAAAAACTGCTATCTATTCAGGCTTCTGTATCAGTCTCGGGATGCTGCGACTGTTGACGAGGGCAGGAACAGCTACAACCGGGCTTCGGAAACATCATATCCGAAGTGGAACGAGCTACGGAAGAATAAAGGTAGTTGTTAAAAAAACCTGAACCCTTAACCCAAAAATGAAAACCCTAAACTCTAAACCGGACTCAAAACCCTAAACCCTGAACCCTGAAGCCTAAACCCTAGCCCTAAACCCTAAACCCTGAAGCCTAAACTCGAAGCCCCGACCTTAAACCCCAAGATCTGCTGTTCCGTCATGGTGGCGCTTCTGGCTTAGGCTGGAAGGCTTCGGGGTTAGCACGCCGGGCTCCCGTGGTCCAAAGTAGAGCCTATGATTTGGACTCAACTTTCCGGTCTAGGCTTTAGGGTTTACTTAGGGTTGGTTCAAGAGGGTTTAGGGTTTAGGCAGTTTTGCGCTGCTGTAACTGTAAAAAGAGCCATACCGGCAGCATACGAGTCTTACTGAGTCCAAAACCCTAGGTCCTAGCCGTTGCGCACTTATGCACAAGGTATCACCCCCAAGGTGGTGGGAATTTAAACTTTCAGTGCTACACCACAGGTTCAGGCAAGCAGCCTCTTGCAGGTACTGCTTGCTGAGGATCACCGTCTCGTTGTAGCAAGGGATGACCTGATGCGCAAAAGCCTAAACCCCCGTACCCTGACCTTACCGGCCCTTGTTGCTTTGAACCTTTGGGATTATATAGAGGTCATAGTACCCCAGAAAGGTTAAAGGTAACCTGCTCTACTTCTAGTATGGAGGTTGGGCATATCAGGGCTTGATAGTGCTACGTGAAGTCAGCGTTTTGGGGTTTAGGGGTTCAGGGGTTTAGGGTTTAGCGGTTCAGGGTTTAGGGTTTAGGGTTGCTCTAGCACAAATTACCTTCGTTGCAGCGTTTTCTACCACATCCTGAAAGCCCATACCCAAAAAACCCTGCAACTTACCTTCCGGGCCTCCCTAAATCCTCAACCCTAAACCCTAAACCCTCAGCCCTAAACCGGCCTGTGTCAAGGAGGGTATGTTGCCGATGTGGCTGTCCAGCAGAGTGTCGATGCCGGCCCGAATACCTGAGTTCGGCACTGCAGGATCAGGGCGGCTCTTTTAGGCTCAAGGTTTGGGGTTTACAGCGTAGCTTTTTGATGGCCACACGACGTCCTTAGCTAAGCGACATAAGTACATGATAACACTCCTAGAGATTCTTGCAACCTTCGGCTGCGAGGTTGATGCGAGGTTGAAACGGTGAACAACCGGGAAAAACGTCCCCCAAGTCCCACGGTTCTAGGATTCTGGGAGCTCAGCGACCGAAACATGTGGGCAGTTCCCCTAAATGGGACGCTAATTTTGAAAACTACCCCGTGTAGGCATGGGAAGGTGCTCTCTACACAACTGAGCTTCCGGCCGTACTTCTCTGAGGAGCGGAGGAGACTTCGAAGGGACGCCGTGAAGAAGCTCAGGCGCCTGGGAGTCGAACCGCAAACAAACCCCAAAACCCTAAACCCCTCAACTCCTAAACCCCTCAACCCTA